AGGGCATTTAAAGTGGAGGTATTCTCAGTTAAGAGAAAGAAATAGCAGAATTATCATCAGTAAAGGGTATATAACAACAAAAGATTCGAATTATTTTTATATTCCACAATAATTAATCAGTTAACTAAAATGGGAAACCAACAGCAATCTAAAAATATATAAATCCAGGAATACCTTTTACAGGACATGTATAAGACCTGTGTGGAAAACTTTGCTACAAAACTTTGCTTAGAGACAGAAGGGATATCTAAATAAATTAAGACACACACCAAATCCTGGGTGAAAAGATCTAATATATAAGCATGAACTTTTTAAGGTCAGTTTATATTGGAATTATGTAATGTCAATTTTTAAACTTCTAAAAGAATTTAGAGGTTGGGGAATTCATAGATTAAAAAATTTTTCAGGAAAAAAACTGGTGAAAATAGCTAAGAGCATGGAAAAATAAAAAAAGGAGAATGAAAGGATATATATTGGCATAGGAAGAAGAGATGGATCAATTGACTGCAAGAACAAGTAGACATAGACATAAACAAAAATTAAGGATATACCAAAGGTAGCAACTTGAATCAGGGAGGGAAGACTGATTCAGTAAAGCGAAATGATAAACTGGACAGTTCTGTGATAGAAAAAGGGTCAATATCTTTCATATATGTCCTTTATATTATGAAAATTTTTACAATTAAAAAAAGATAAATTCTAAAGTAGAAAATTGGGCAAAGGTTATTTAATAGACAATTTACACAAAGAGACATACAGAGTCAAAGACATAAAAATTGTTCAACTATGCTAGGAGTATAAGAAATACAAATTAAAACAAGTTGCCTGTGTGGTTTTTTATTTTTTACTTATCAGACTCATAAAGGTTTTAAGTTATAACATCAACTTGTGAAGTACAGGGAAAACGCTGCCTGTAACCTGCCTGGTGGAAAATCCAGCAATCCTAAAAATGTACACCACCAATTCCACGGCTAAAAATTTATCCTAAGGAAATAATTATGATGTTGGATAAAGATTTTTCTACAGGTGGTTTAAGAAAGCATTCTTTACGTTCTGGGAAGACTCTAAACTAGGGGATTGATTATATGAGGTTTAACATATCCATATGATATAATACTGGGCATTAAGTAATGCTGGAAAGGAGATTTTTATGACATTGGAAAATATTTATAACTGGAAAAGATGCTACAAATTATTACTATACAATCCCATGTTGGTTAAAAAAAGTATACACAAAAGTCTAGATGGATATAGAACAAATATTAACAGGTGTGACCTCTGAGAGGCCTATTACAGGTTATTTTTATATTCTTTGTGCTTTTCTGAGTTTTCTAACTTTCTATGCAAAACTATATTTTCAGTTATTTTCCAGAACAATTGGAAAGATATATTTCAAAGTTCCATTGGTTTTCTCGGAGTTCTAGAACTATGGACAATTTAAATTTTTAGCATTATTTTCTATATTTCTCAAAATTTTCTGCAAGATTAGTTTAAAAAAAGAAAACACACACACACACACAACCCCCAAGGGTGTTTTCTTAGGAGATCAGACCCAGAAAATTAGTTAAAATGCAGAGAAACACAGGCCATGTGCTGACTGCCAAAGCCCCTGTAGAGTAATATTCATCTGCGCTCCTCCACAGCAGTGTTTAGCCTTTGCTGGCTCTGTAGTGCCAGCACCTACTACATGGCATCTTAGATGCTCAACACCTGTTCTGTTCAATAGAAAATACTACCACCACCATTCTAGGAAGTCCTTTATTGTCCCATCATTGCCAAGATACTTCAAAGTGCTGGTGTTGGGTATAATATCCTTACAGTGACGTTCCAATAACATAGAGTAACACTAATTATTTAGCATCTCTAAAGTGCCATAGAAAAGGTTTTGATTCAAGAAAACGAACCCAAGTATAATCAATTCTTCAATATCAAGAAAAGGAAAAATCCCATTGCTAGAAGTTCTTCTCCTAATTTGCCTTTTCTTCTTTTCTTCTTCTTTTTTTTTCTTTTTTGAGAGCCATGGCAATCTTTTTACACTTGATTTTAGCCAAAAGGCCGAGAAGCAATGAAAGCCATGATAATCTTTTTATGCAATAAGGTAAAAAATGGCTAAAGTGTATTAGCATTCACCAGAGTGGTATTCTATTATAGGACTCAGCTACTAAAACCAGGGAAAGGACAAAAGCAGCTGTTCAACTGACCTCAAAACTCTGACGTTCTTAAGCATCCACACTAAGAGAGAAGGGCCCAACAACTTTAACCTCCCCTGAACTGCAGCAACCAATGCTTGCTTAAAGTAAGTAAACTGAGTCCTGATTTTCCTTCTCTTCTGTTCACATGTTCTAAGCTAGAAAGATTATCAAGACCTTAAAAGACCAAATTCCAAAAAAGAAAAGAAGGAAAGTAAGTAACTAACCTTTCAATAAGCAAAAATTTTCTGGTCATATGGAAGCAAGCTCAATTACAGTCAGCTTGCCTAGTGCTGACTTCACGTCCAGTTTTCTAGAATTTTTACCTCCGGCCTCTTGTGCACACCTCAATCTTGGCACTTAGTATATTAACTGAAAGTTTCTCTGAATCTTTCCCAATGGAAAAACTGCGCATTTCTCTGTGATGGGGACTTTGCTGATTCAATACCACTGTATGAAGGCATTTAATATCCAGTAACATGCACAAATTCTGAGGCCACCATAGACAGAAAATAAACATCCCTGAGGAGCTAAAATAAATACTACAATTGGCATTCTGTGGCATTCCTGCAGAGGCAAAAGTTACAAAGCTTTAATAAGTCTTTATGTGAAGGGATCAAATTTTAATAATAATAAAAATATATACCAAAGTAAAATATTAGAGGTGGGAAGAACTAGGAGATTTTTCAGCAGAAATAGTCCTGGTTTACCCATGTCACTGCATAAGCAGGAAGAAGGGAGAGAATCTAAAGAGAAAATCTAAAGATGAGAAAGAGAAGCCACAGCTGACTACCTTTCTACCTTAGGAAGAGATACTTTTGAGCTTCTATTTCATTATATGTAAATACCTAAAGCATAAAGGAAGCTTCAACTTAAAACATGGTTGGTCACAATCACAGAACACTTAAAAGGGAAGAAGAAGGGATGAGTAGAAGCATATAAGCAGTGAGGCACACTTACCATCACACACACACACACACACACACACACACACACACACGAAATTCCATAGTGGAGTAAAGCTAACCGCCCTCTCCCAAGATTCTACCTGGCAAGGGTTTGGTCTGCCCTTTCACTGAAGAAACATAAATATTCAGATCCTGACTTTCAGAGTCAGCCTCCTTTTTCAAAGAAGGTTTGCAGGAAATAACCACATGTATTTACAGTGCCATCATTACACATCATTTTCTTGTTCATGCAGGGCACTGAGAAAGCACTCAATTTGGATGGGTAGCCCACATTTCAAATTGATGGGAGCTCAGAGACCAGAATGAGGCTAGTTCAATGGTTCTCTGCCATGCTGCACATGAGCATTACCTGGGGAGCTTTTGAAACATACTAGTGCAGAGCCTCAACCCAAACCAATTAAATCAGAATTGCTAAGGGTAAGATCAGAGCATTATTTTATTTGTTTGTTTATTTTAAAAGCACCACAAAAAGTTGTCAATTTTTTTTCAATATTGTAAAAGCAAGTGGTTTGTTGTTGTCGTCATTTTGGGTGTTTTTTTTTTTTTTTTTTTTGGTGTTTACTAGAAAAACAAGAAAATTTGCTTTAAAATACTCTATCAGGAGAGGTGGTTTTGCTTATAGAAGATTGGCAAAATGTTGATAATTACTGAAGACGGGTAATGGATACATAGGAGTTGATTACATTAGTCACCCTACTTTTATAGATTTGAAATTTTCTTTTCTTTTTTTTTTTTTGAGATGGGGTCTCACTCTGTTGCTCAGACCAGTGTAGTGGTGGGATCTCGGCTCACTGCAACCTCCACCTCTCAGGCTCAAGAAATTCTCCTGCCTCAGCCTCCTAAGTAGCTGGGATTACAGGCGCATGCCACCATACCCAGCTACTTTTTGTATTTTTAGTTGAAACAGGGTTTCATCATGTTGGTCTTGAACTCCTGACCTCAGGTGATCCACCACCTCAGCCTCCCAAACTGCTGGGATTACAGGTGTGGGCCACCGTGCCTGGCCAGATTTGAAATTTTCTATAATAAAAAGTTATTTTATAGAATCAGCAGAAATAAACCTTTGTTCTCTACCCCCACCAGAAAAATATACAAGCATGTGTGTATAATGTGTTTAATATAATAATATGTTTAAAAATACACAAAAAACTTTACAAGTGATTCTAATGTGCAACCAGATTTGAGAACCACTCAGCTGCCTCAATGAAGGAGGGGCAACTTGATTTGGAAAATTAAGCCCAAAAGGCAATCCAGGTGAGAGAGATTCCACTCAGGCTTGTGGCAAGATGGAGCCCAGTGAGGGTGGCAGGCCTCCTCTAGTAAGGCACCAACTCCACAATTTCTGCCATGCATACATTTGCCTGAATTTTGAGACTCTTCATTCACAAGTAAACTGCAAATACACATACATACACATGTTAAAACATATGTGTTAATACATACACACGTGTATTACGTTTGTGGATATACATATATATCTGTGTATATGTGATTTAATATAACACTGCCAATTATATTCAGTAGCATGTAATTTTTAAAAACACTATTTATGGAAACATTACCTCTGACTTAAAATGCTTTGGTCTGTGGAACAGTCATTCAAAGGCCTCCTTCCAGGAGTGGCCTGGTGGGGGTGAGCGTTAGGGTTAGGGGTGAGGTCTTTTAACTGGCAAGCTCCACATCTATCTAAGTAATGCTGCTTCAAGTGCCCTTGGTAAATTCTGAAATCAGATGCTACTAGTGGGAAGAGGCAAAAAGAGCAACCAAGTCTGAACTTAATGAATACGGAATGCAACAAAACTCCCTGCATTCCACCTCCCAAATTCCCAAATTCCCAACTCACCTATTCTTCTCCATTTCATTGTGAGTTGATCTGAAAGAGGAAACAATAAGAGAAGAATAAGATATTCTTATCTTAAAGAACTACTTCAATACCAATACAATTATTTTAACTTCTTTCTCTCCGAAGTTGGTAGGAGAGATGCAGAAAGGGAAAAATTTCACTAGACTCTACTAAAAAAAGTAGTCCATTTGAAGAGTTAGATAAATGTAAATACCTAAAATAGAGTTCAAGGTAAAGCGACGAACCAAGATGCATGCATTTTCTAGTGGAAAAATCATCCATTTTAAGGCAAAAAATAAAAGGGGTCTATTTATACAAAAACAGCTGCCACAATGCAATATGAATTTGCATTATGTAATACCACAAAGCTTTCTTTAGACTAAGGGTAGAACAGTGGAGGTAGCACCCGTACCCAATCCCTGCAGTTTTCCCTTGGGGTAGCATACACCAAAATTTTGTGTAAAGTTGCTTGACTATACTGTTTTACATAGTTAAAAAAAAAAAAACAAAACCCTCCCCAATCTTCTGACTCCCTGGAGTAACTATCATGTACAAGATGCTACCGTTAAATAGCTACCAAATGATTTTAGGAAGGGGTTTCCAAAGCTCAGCTCAACATAAAGATGATAGGTTGGTTAAAGCAGAAGTTAGGGAAATGTGAAGTCCGGCTGTGCCACAGGCTGATACTGTGGAATAAATAAAATTCTTTACCATCCTGTCACTGGTTAACCTGCCTATAAAATGGGAATAAAAATAATTACCAATTATTTACTGAACAAGTATGGATCAATGAGGTAACAACTGTAAAACTGGTTAGAGAGCCTTGGATGAAAGGTGTGATGGATATGAAACCATATTATTAGTGTATTTATGACTGACCTTAAAGAGAAGGTCTGGTCTAAGACTTTACGGACAAGTTTTCACAAAGTCATAAGACGTCAATGTGGTCCCTTTAGTGTCCTCCTCACACAACCCCTTCCTAACTAGTTATAAACTTGGAATAACCTACCAGCATTATAAAGGAGCTGAATCTTAACCTTTCTTATGAAAAATTCTCTAGAATTTAACCAGCTCAGGAGTTTACTCCCTGGTTCACCTCATGAATTCTGTGGGGCCACACTCAGCACCTTACTGGGCCTAGGAGATAAACTCTCACAGCAATCATGGAGGAATACCACTTCAAGAGTGCTCAGCCACTCATGTACATCAGGGGCACCACCACCAAGTTCACTCATCAGAGAATGGGGATAAGGACAGTGAGTGTTGGGGGGTGGCAAAGGAAGTGAGGAGGTTGCCTTGAAATGAGAAATTTCCAACCTAGCATTAAAACTTCTCTTCCACAAGGACCTTGGGGATCAATTTTTATTCATGAAGAGAAAACAAATGAGAAAATAATGACAGTATTTTTAAGTTTGGAATATTTGTTTTCTAGATAAACAATACATGGACCTCATGTATTCAAATCAATTCAAAACTGGTTAACTTCAAAATTTCAGGCCAGGCACGGTGACTCATGCCTGTAATCCCAGCACTTTGGGAGGCTGAGGCAGGAGAATTGCTTGAACTCAGGAGTTGAACACCAGTGTGGGCAACACAATAAGATCCCATCTCAACTAAAGAGAAATAAAATTTTTACATTGATTCACTTGGTTATCCCTCAGCATTCTCCAGTCATGTTGTGCTATAGTTAACAAGAATCTGGCCTGTACTGCAAACCTTGGGCTCTAAAGCACGTGGCATTTTAGTTTTAACCGGGACTAATAGGTTCAAAGCCTGACAGATTTTTTTTAGTGGATGAAAGTAGATGGGCACAGTAGCTCACGCCTGTAATCCCAGCACTTTGGGAGGCTTAGGCAGGTAGATCACTAGAGGTCAGGAGTTTGAGACCAGCCTGGCCAACGTGGCAAAACCCTGTCTTTACTAAAAGTCCAAAAATTAGCTGGGTGTGGTCATGTGTGCCTGTAATCCCAGCTACTCAGGAGGCTGAGGCAGGAGAATCACTTGAACCCGGGAGAGGTAGACCTTGTAGGTGAGCCGAGATGGTGCCACTGCACTCTAGCCTAGGAGACAGAGCAAGACTCTGTCTCGAAAAATAAATAAATAAATAAATAAATAAATAAAATGGATGAAAGTATATGCCAACTGCTGGTTGAGATTCCCGTTTACCTGTAGACAAAGACCATCCCTAATAGGTGGAGGAAAGGAAAGTAATAGGTTGAGAAGACAGTAGAAAAAAACAGCACACAGGAAATTCTTACAAAATATTCCTGGATTCTTTGAAAAGACATAGATAAACTAATAGAGTTATATACTTATGTAAAATTCTGAATCCCCAAAATAAACTTTTAAACAAATTCCATAGGAAGCACAACTCCTTACAAAATCAGAACAAAATTTTTAAAACTACAGATTTTATTTGATTAAGAGTGTTAAACACATGGTGCTTTTTAAAGGGGTACTTATACCTAATGATTTGAGCATTACTGAAGTGTATTTGGTTTACTGAAACTGAATTATTAATAAAAAGCAGCCCATTCAAAAATGATCAGTTCAGAGACTGCCGGTCACCTCCATTGATGGGTAAACATTTATGTTTTTAATTAAAGCATTTTAAGAACACATTGATACCTTGTGTCAAAACTATTTTCCATGTGATTATGGAAGAGAACGGATAACTCTGGAATCACTGATAAAAGTCAAATTTCACCATTTAAAAATACATTTAAAAAAGAAAAAAACTAAGCCAAATTATGGCATATTTGAGATAAACAGGAATAATCCTTGGGTTCAAAAGGACTCCTCATATCAGCTCACTCTAGCCACTGTCTTATAAAACAACTGGGTGGCAAGTCCTGAACTTCCTCTTTCACATGAGTGCCAAAGCTTGCTTTACTAATTTAACAAAACATACTTTTTAAAAGTTCTGGATTTCAATTATAAACAATTAGTAACTGACTTCAAAAATTAGTAGGAAAGAAAATTCCATCTTCCCATATTCCAGTAGTTCTATGGATAATTTCAAAAACAATTGATATTCACAATTTCATTTTTGTTTTTGTTGTTTTAATAAGTAACTAGAGAAACGTGAATAAGATCTGCATTTTCAGTTCCTAAGAAGTTTCCTATGTGGCTAAATCTTATCTTTTATTGTCCAAGGAAAAGTATTCCCCCAGACTCTATGAGCAAAAAGCACAGCATTTCAACCTGTATGAACAAGAATAAACTGTTATCCAAGGGTTATGTAAACCAGCAGTAATCTCTCCCTATCCTTTACCTCAGTTCAAAATTCTGACCATACATGGCCGAGGATATAAAGCTCATTCAAACCACGAGGTCAAGCCGCTTTCTCTGTTAGGACTGCGTGTTCCTCAGAAAAGGAGCCATTCCAAATGGGTCATGAAGGAAATGATCACATTGAAATAAAACTACCTGCTGTTGATTCACATGTTTGTCTGGTGCTACCTCTAGGTTTCATCACGGTCTCTCAGAAATCCTTACACCACTAAATATATTACACTAACTCATTATCAGTCAAGTATATGGACAACTGTGATAACCCCCGTCTCTAACCATGGAAAGCAAACCAACCCATTAACAGAAGGATTTGTAGTCATTTTTTGGTGTTGTACTGATTATTAAAGAGAAGATACTAGAAAGAATCCATTTCTTGGCTTGAGATTCTTAACTATTATTATTTTTCTTTCCTAATCACCTTTTGGAACCAAGCCACTTCTCTTCAACATCTCATTTTCTTATCCCCACTACTGATTATCCCCTAGAACCTTCCTGTGAAACTCAGGAAAAAATAAAGTGTTAAGGTATTAAGCCTCAATAAGTAACATAGACGATTCCTCTCAAATCATTAGTAGACAATAAAAGCAAAAATAGACTATGCTTTTCTAGAAAAATTAACTGAAAGGCCTCAAAATTATTCCAAACAAAATAAATAAAAAAAACTTTAACAAAATGCAACACAGCTTGTTTTTATACTATTGCATATTACAAGTCAGTATTAACATCCTTCTTAAAGTGCCTCAGTATCCATGCACAAAACTATGGCTACCACCTTCAGGTAACGCTAAGATGGAAGGACAAGCAAAACCCACCAGGTAATTACCAGGTTCATCCTTCATGTGCCATTCTTATTCAAGGGCATGGCACAAGTAATGCCGCTCACATCCTGTGGTTCCACTAGTGATACTAATGAGGTGAACCAAGTACAGAAGAGGCAGCGAGAACAAGTGATTTTTAAGTTTCAGCGGGAAATTCCTGGCTTTTAGTGGTCTGTATTAAGCCACAGAAGCTATCCAAATAGTTACTTGCAAGGAGTTATTCATTAGGGTGAGGGAGGGATAAGTATTCTAAACCAGTGATGCAAATGTCAATGCTTTTAATTTACTGGCAGGAAAAGTATAGTTGAAGAAATCTAATAAAACAAATTTCCTAGCCAACAATATTTTAAGGGCAAAGAAGGGGGGAAAGGGGCAGTAACATTGACAGACTATTTATATGTACCAGAAACTATGCATAGGACTTTAATATGTGATTTAACTGACCATTAACCAAATATCCAGTGAGATATACAGCTTTTAAGAACTATAGTATAAGACAATCTATAAGGCTAACATGAAAAGGTTGTAGCATATTAATATTTTGGTATTATATATTCTTCTATCACTAAAGAGGTAGGTTTTAACCTCAATCATTCCTCTTTGCCATTACAAATAGAGGTGACAAATTAGAGTATCAAACAAACCACTGTATTTAATTTAAATGTCAAATATGAGATCCTAGCACTTGTGCCAAGTCAGGCACTTTAATATGTTTATAAAATAATCACTATGAAAAGTAAAAAAATGGATAATGTCCAGCATTTTGACTTATAGAAAAACTTGCCCTGAATCTGCAACTTCTAAAGGCAAAATATTGTCACCATTGCTAATCTCACTTGAAGCTTCCAGTGTTTTGTTCCAAAAGGGAAGAAAAGTGAAATTAAATTTTGAATAAAGTTCATAAAGAAATGTAAAACATTTCTATTTTTCTTTTCAGTTCCCTCAACAAACAGAAACAGCTTCCTGCAATGGCTTAAGTCCATGTGTATATTACTGAATCATGACTGCCACAATGTAATTTTATAGGGTTATAATCACAACAGGCAACTTACATTCAGCAGTTTGTGTCACCTATAACACAATCTAAAAGAGAGAAATATTTACCAAATTACCTGCTACTGCTGTTATTCTTCTTGGATTTGTTCCTCCGTTTTAAGGCATCTCTGTCCTTGTTATTGTATGGTAACATGGAGGCATAACCATGTTCAGCTTCTAGAAAACCGGAGGATCCAGTTAATGAATGGGCCCAGAATATTTAATACTCTCCTCTCTACAGTATTTCCTTTTTCCTTTATTTATCTTTAAAAGAATATTGTGGAAATAATTAAATGGAGTAAGGTGGAATTCTGAGAACAATGATTAAAAAAAAAAACAAAAAACATTGTGTGAATACCCTCAGTTCGGAGCAGGTGTAAGGAGGATTCCAGCTGCTCATTGTTGAGAGACACAGTAGTGGCTAAGCTCACGCAGCCTGGGTTTGCCACTGGCAACGTCCAGCAGGTTGGTGCGGGTTGAGTGGGACTAGCCTCAGGCGAAGGTGCGGGACAAGCACCGCGAGCCTGTGACTGGGAGGCGCTGCTCCTCTGCCCGGGAGACTGGGGCGCCGGGCCCACCTGGGGGCCGGCCGGGACCAGCCCGGGTGAGGTAAACCAGGGAGGCTGGCGGAGGGGCCCCGGCCACCCACTCGTGAGGGGCTGGGGAAGAGGCGGCGTTCGGGACCCCGGCGGGCGGCAGTCCCTTCTCCACCTCATTCATTGCTTTGGGGCAGCGGCGGCCTCCCTTCGGACCGCGCGTGGGGAGAGCCTGAGGGGTTGGGAGCGCTCGTGGTCTCCGCGCCTCCAACCACCCCCCGGAGCGGCTGGGCGCCCGGACCTGAGGCCGGTCCCCCAGGACCCTCGGCCCCGGTTCGGGTAGACCCCTCCCCGTCCCCGTGCACCTCTCTCCCGCCGCTCCAGATAGTCGGCCGCCTCCAGCAGCATCTGGATGTTCATCCGAACCGCCGCCGCCATTCTGCACCGGGGCCGGAGCCACGGGACCAACCTCCACTGCCCACGGGCTCGCTGCCGCCGCCGGACCGCTGTGGACCGGGCTGTGGACCCCACGGAACAGGGCTGAGGGAGCCTCTCTGGCAACCACGCTCGACAAGAGAGGGAGGGGGCCAGTGAGCTGAGCACCGCCGACACTGTGACAGAACCCGGAGCAGAACAGCAGCCGCCACCGCCGCGGAGTGTTTATCCCCGACTCACCATCCCCCCGCCCCCAGCCCCTTCTCTTGACAGGCCAGCTTCGGCCGCGTTCCTCATTGGGTCCCCCAAAAAATGCCCCGCCCCTGCACTTGTGCGATTGGGGGAGGGCTTCATGGCTCCACCCCCCCAAAGTCCGCTCCTCTCGCTGGTTGGCCATACTTGACAAGGCCCGGGCTCCACCCCCTCTTTCCAATTGGTGACAGGATTCGCAACTCCGCCTCGTGCTCCTTCCTTGTTTCCCATTGGTTCTATACCAACAACCCTTTGCTTTGTTAGTATTGGTCAAGAGCTGTAGAAGGCAAGCACCTCGCCTGTCTCCCATTGGTGAAGCTTTCGGAAACCTCCCAGCTACGATGATGTCACCTTTCTCCACGCCAGGCGAGCCCTAAGTGGCTGATGGTCAGCGGCCTGGCTGCTCCTCACCAGGTCTGGCATTGGCTGGGAGGGCCGGCCAGGCGCTGGGCGGCGCCGATTCACCGGCCGCCGCGGAGCTCTGCTCCACCCGGCCCCGCCTCGGACCTGTTGCCAAGACCTCTCCCCGGGGAAAACTTCCGGGGACCTGCCAGGCGTCCCTCGAATGGAAGGCAGGCACTTCGTGTCGCCGGGGCGCTCTGCCCCGCTGGGGTTCGGGGCCGGAGCCCGGGGTCTGGTGGCCGCGGCCCTGGAGGTTCCGGGCTTTGCGGAACTCCTGGTGGCAAGGGCCCAGCCGCGAATCCTCCTGAAGAGCGGTCCAAGCTAGTGGTCCGTGAGCCAGGAGCTCCGGCGGGCGCCACGTGGCTGCTGCGGGACTTGAGAAGAAAAGCCTGGCCGATGTTAAACGCCCGCCGCCTGGCGTTTTTTCTGCCCTCAAGAAAGGTGGAATCGGGCTGCTGTACAGCATTGACCTCAGGCGCCTTTTCCGCCCCACCCCGGGAAGTGATGGAATAATTAATTACTTTCACGCGAGTTTTTAAAGCTCAGAGACTTCCTGAACCTACAGAATGGCACTGAACCCTAAGAGTCTTTGACTTAAATATCTTTTACGGTTTTCCCCTCCCTTTTAATTCCAGATGAAAGCATTCAAAAGAATACTCTAAGACAGCTGCAAATGGTGTGTTTCCGCGTGGGGGTGATACCAATATAAATGCTTAATAGAATGTTATGTATACAGAACTAAGAAGTTTAAAGATCGTTCCCTAAACCTATCAAAATTTTCGAGATGAAAGCTATCTGGCAAACCAAGCTACAATGCCAACGTACTAACGGACATCTCCAATTTTAAAAGCAGAAATAAAGCTCTTGGTAGGTTGAGTCCCCAAAATACAAATGAGTAAAGCATGAACATATTTCTTTTTTAAAAAGTTTATTATTGTCGCCCATATATAATAGCTTACTATGTGTAGGTATCATACCTACATTATCTCTAATCTTCAATATAATCCCATGAGGTAGGTTGTGTTAATTACATTTTACACGTGAGGAAACTGAGGCCCAGGGAGGCTAAATGATTTTCCTTGTCATGCATTCAGTTGCAGACATGAAACTGAATCTAGATCTGTCTCATCTGGAGCCCAAATTACCAATCCTCCTGTTGATAGTTGCATAAAGACAAGGTAGTTTAAACAGATTTCCAGACTGAGTCACAAAACACTTGACTCAAAACTCAAGTACTGAATGTAATTATAGTGGGAAAATTAAACATGTATTTTTTAATGGTTCACAAACCCACTAAAATTAAATCAACTCAGAGTAAACAGAATAAAGGTAATTAATGATGCCTGATAAATAGGCATATTCTGGTTTCAGTGGCTAATTGGATCTAAAAACTGATTATTTACAAAAATACTAATGAAATATGCATACTGAAGGTAAAGGTTTTCAAAGCACAATACAAAGTTGAAAATAAAGGTAGAAATATAAGTTTTTTTTTTTTCACAAGCTGTTTGGGAGGCACATCCCACACATACAATGTGAACACCTAATTACCACGTTTACGCACTACAAAAGGATCTAATAGTTTTTAGAGAGTATTTTTAACTTGCATGTTATTTGTAAAACAAACGTGAAAATCATAAACAAGTGCAATTCTACTAAAGTACCCAAACTGATAATACTAAAAATACTTTGATTTCATTATCCTAACATTTTGGATTTTGTATATATTTTCTTTGATTTTATTACAAATATTTAGCACATCTCTTTATTATCTTACTCTCAACTCTTTATTTTAACCAAGTTCAACTTCAATATCATGACCCTTCCTCTACAATCACCCTGATCAAAATTCACTTATTTTTGTCTTAAAAGGGGGGGAAAGGGTTGAATTCTGAGCCAGAAACAGCAAATAATTTAAACGTCAACAAGTCTAGCTTACGCTACAAACAAAAATACTACATTATGTAAAAATTAGAGAATCAGACTAAAGACTGGACCATGTTCGTTCTTTGGCAGTGGATGAAATTACCAACTAGCCAGCAACACCAACTAGGAATTAGTATAATGAAGCACTTCAAAGGGTATTTGGTGCCATCTACTGGAAATGAAGTAGTAAGTCTAAAACAAAGGTTTTGAGATTTGGAGTGTTCCTAGAAATTATTTTACACAAATGTATGGGATGACCAGTTAATTAGGAAAACCTGAAAGTATAAATTTTGAAGAAAGAACTGAAAATCCTAAGAATGAAGAAGTGGTCACTTTCAATATCTAGTGCCTCAAAGGCATGAAATAAGCATTGAAAAGAGGCACAGCTCCAAAAATAGAAGCAGGGAATTCTAGACTGTTTTAACCCAAGTTTTATGACCAGGACTTAAAATAAAAAGCTGTATGTAATAGCATACACATGGATGACAATGGCTTATATATTTGAGCATATATCAAGATAAACTAATTGAGATATATACTTGAAAATGGGAAATTACAAAGACATAAAATATTAGACTTGTCAGATAATCTTACTGCCAAGTAAACCTCTGCCTAGTCTCCTCTGGGGAGCTTGTACTCCAGATGGCCAAAGGACAGGGGAAAAAAAAAAAAAAAAAAAAAAAAAAAAAAAAAAAAAATATATATATATATATATATATATATATATATATGTTTTTAGACGGACTCTCACTCCGTCACCCAGGCTGGAGTGCAGTGGTGCAATCTCACCCACTGCAACCTTGGTCTCCCGGTTCAAGTGATTCTCCTGCCTCAGCCTCCCAAGTAGCTGAGACTACAGGCACGTGCCACCATACCCAGCTAATTTTTTTTATTTTTAGGTAGAGATGAGGTTTCACCGTGTTAGCCAGGCTGGTCTTGATCTGCTGACCTTGTGATTCACGCACCTCGGCCTCCCAAAGTGCTAGGATTACAGGTGTGGGCCACCACACCCAGCAAATAGGACAGTATATTAAGAGGTAAATGCCAATGCTAAGCAAGCAGCAGGCTCATCACACACTATGGAGTTCTGCCAGAGATGTCACTTTAGAGAGCACCTCAGAGTGACATGGAAGACAACTGTTGCCTTATTATAATCCTTAAGTGCCTAAAAGGTTCTATCACTATGGGAGTTAAAACCCCCCATTTATAACTGAGTTTGATACCTCCTACCATGACATTAAAATAAATTTTGTCTTGTAAGGTTTTAAAGAATTTTGTTCCTTGAAGTATATAAATCAGTATTTCAAGTTTCTGCCTCAATAGTATCATCTATTTGTGGCTACTTTAGACACACTAATATGATATCTAACATCATATTGAATTTTAGAAAGCTTTAAAAATGCTGCTTTGCAAAAATTAGTCGCTCTACAAATCTCTGGTTTAGAAAATGGCCTGGGGCCATGGCTCACGCCTGTAATATCAGCACTTTGGGAGGCTGAGATGGGAGGGCTGCTTGAGCTCAGGAGTTTGAGACCAGACTGGGCAACACAGTGAGACCTCATCTCTACTCAAAAAATAAATTAGCTGAGTGTTGTGGTGTCGCCTACAGTCCCAGCTACTTGGAAGGCTGAGGCAGGAGAACTGTTTGAGTCCAGGAAGTTGAGGCTCCAGTGAGCCGTGATCATACCACTGCACTCCAGCCACAGAATGGAGTGGTTAAAAAAAAAAAAAGAAACAAAAAAAGGCAATGGCTAAACTGTCGTATGTATATTACACAAAACACTGTACAGCGGGGTTTATTTTCTTTTGTTTTGTTTTTTGAGACGGAGTTTCACTCTTGTTGCCCAGGCTGGAGTGCAATGGTGCAATCTTGGCTTGACGCAACATCCACCTCCCGGGTTCAAGCGATTCTCCTGCTTTAGCCTCCCAAGTAGCTGGGATTACAGGCGCTCGCCACCATACCCAGCTAAATTTTCTATTTTTTTTTTGGTAGAGATGGGGTTTGACCACGTTGGCTAGGCTGCTCTTTAACTCCTGACCTCAGGTGATTCATCTGCCTTGGCCTCCCAAAGTGCTGGGTTACGGGCATGAGCCACTGTGCCTGGCCACTGCAGTAGTTTTTAAAAAGGTAGATTTACATATACAGGCAAGAAAAGATCCCCAAAGCACAGCATTGAGTAAATAAGTTGCAAAATGATCCTTACAGCATTTTCTTTTTAAAGGCCCAAACTATATTTTCCCGATTTCCTACTCTGTTACATACATACAGGCATGGACAAAAAAATACAAAGCAAAGGATTAGCAGTAAGAAGGGCAATAACATTCTGAGTACTGTTCAAAAGGTGTTTAGCTTTGTAATAATGTTTTAAGATTTTTACAAGAAAGACGCTTGCCACAAATGATATTTCCTAAAAGAAAAAAATGTAATAGTTAACCTTTCTTCTGTTGAGGCAAGGTAAGTAAACTTGCATACATCATAAATAAGATTTTCTTACTTTACAAGAAGGAAGAACTGAGATTGTTTTTTGAATGCAAGTTAAATACAACGTACAATACCTGGGTAACTAAAGGTAATCAGATGTAAAATGAAAATCAAGGGACTCGGTTAGTGAAAAAAGGTTACAGAACTATATTCACGAATTCAAGACATTTATTGAGCATTGTACTCTGTGCCAGCCACTGTGTGGTACTGGGGCTACAGCAGCTAACCAGACAGATGCCCCACTTCTCTGAGCTCACTGTCTAATGGAAGAACCAGACAATAATAAATGAATATAGAGTATGTCAGGCAGTGAAAAATGTGGTGAAGACAAGTAAAGGAGAGTTTGGAGAGCCACAAGGAGAAACTGGAACTCTCACATATTGTGGACAG